CGCTAGCAGAGACGTGATATGGATTGCTGGTGTCTTGCGGATTGACCGTGATTTCGACCCTAGGCTCATCTTCTCAGTTGTGAGGTGCTTGCGGAGCGTTTTGAGCAGCTTGATTGATCAGAGCAGTCCGATTATGTGCTTGTTGCGGAGAAATCGTAGGAAGTGCCGAAGTTCCGATTCCTGGAATGGAGCATGTGTTTTGTCACGCCATGATAGAGGATTACGCCTTCTTTGCTTAGTTATCTGATACCATTTTATATTTCTCTTAATGAAGTTACGGACGAAGCAAAAACAGAAAGGATGAGGAAAGAAGAAGAGTTGCAGAGAGATGGAGCGAAGGGAAAAAATATCTATCAGTTATGAAAGAACCTGCAGTTTATGTATTTATACAATGGACTACTGGACTAACTGATCTGTTGCGTGAGTAGCTGTACTCTAACAGAATAATACAGCTGTTCAACTAATTTAAAGATCTAATAGACTACTTTGTTGTGCACCCTCTTCACTTGTGTCTTCTTGTTCACGTGCACCATCCTTCAATATAGGGTGATAGCAAAAAGAGGTCCTTCATTGCAGGGGTGGTTGGCAGTGTGGTTGCCTTTGATGCCCGACTGAAGCCATTCGTTAAAGGGAAGGTGTGAGTTCACGGAGAGAGTTGGAAGGATTCGCTTCAAAACCTCGACTGCTAAAAACAACCTAATAAATGTATAATAATATGAATAATTATTAGCATAATTAAAATAATAATTATTAGTGTACTAATCTGATCATTATTAGCTTATTCCTTAATTAACAAAATAATAATTCCTTAATTTTACTAAAATTTATTCAATTAATTGCCTAATTTTAAAAAATAATAATAGTAATAATTGTATAGTAATATAAAAACCAAGACTATGTGGTTTAATGGTACTTGGGTTGGATTTTTATTTAGAAGATTGTAAGTTTGAGTCTCAGTGGAGGTTTGTAATAGTATGTCTCGACCATTATTACAATTAATTCTTTAATTTATTAATTAGAATAATAATAATTGAAATTACAATTAATTAATTAATTGTATGAATTTATTTTTTTGAATTTATTAATTAATTGTATGCTTTTATTTTATTTTATTTTAAATTTATTTTCTAGACAGTATTGTTGCAAAAGAATTCTCTCCGCGGCTCACGATTCATTAAATCCTTAATTATATTGTAAAGCATTATATATATTTTTTGAATTTAAGTTTTTGTTTTCATTTTATCCTAGACGACATTCAAGTTTTTTTTTTTTTTTTTTTTTTTTTTTTTTTTTGAGAATGCTAATCGATTCATTGATAGTTGGAGGTAGATAACACTATTGTATAATCTGAAATTAAACTCAAATCCAAGTTACTTTACATCTATTAACCCAAATTCAGATTATATTAAAATGAAACATAGATTTAAATAATTTCATATAAGAGTTTGTAAATATGGTGACTGCTTTAGTGCTTTTAGAGAGATAACATTATTTACCAATTCGCCACGAAGAACCAATCTCGCGCCGGTCTGGATCTCGGAGGAAGTGATGGTCGGCTTCTTATTGTAGCGAGCCAAGCGAGTCGCCTTTTGGGTGAGCTTCTAGAAGATATCATTGATGAAGTTGTTCATGATGCCCATGACCTTGCTAGAGATTCCGGATGGACTTGCTTCAGCACCTTGAAGATGTAGATCTTATACATCTCCGATGACTTCTTCACCCTCTTCTTCTTCTTATCTCTGGCCGCAGCGGCTCCACCCTCCTTGGGTAGGTGAGGATCCAAATCATGGTAGAAAATCATCATCATCATCATCAACCCATCCTGCAGTACTGAAGGGGAAGTTCATGTGTTGGAAAGGATTCAGAATCTGATTATTATTATTTTCAGAAGTTGAGGGCAGGGGGTAATGCCGTGATGATTAGATTGTTGGTTGTTTTGGGCAGCAGCGATGAACACATCCTCGTTCATCAAAGAATCGAAGAACGTCGAAAACGCATCCTCGTCCGGGCAAAAATTCATCCCAAAATTATCCTCATTGTCGTCTCCGATATCGATATTAAAGCCCTCATCCCCATTTCCAGTAGTCTGATGATTCGCCGTCGTCCCTCCCACGCTGTTGGGCTGATCAATCTGATGATTCGCCGTCGTCCCTCCAACGTTAACAGTAGCACTGCTATTGATCTTCACTGTCTTGTCTTGGTTGGAAAGACCAACGTGAATGGGTGTGGGTTTGATTATGGGAACTGAGGAAGAGGTGGTATGGTTTTTGGGGTTGTTGGAATTGGTAGGGTTTACGAGTAGAGGCTTGTGGTTTCTTGGATCAATGCCTTGGCTAATCAGCTTCTTGGTCAGGTGAGTGTTCCAGTAGTTCTTTATCTCGTTATCTGTCCGGCCTGGAATCCTTCCTGCTATCAGTGATCACCTTCATAAATAATCAATTTTTATCCCTCTATTCTGAATTTATAATCTCCACTTATTTTTGCCCGCACCATGCACGCAAAAATCTATCTATAATAATCTATAAATTAAAGAATGAAATTAAATATAGCTTTTAGATTTTCAAAAAATATATATAGCTTTTAGAAAAATCTATAATAGATTATATACAATTTTCAAATAATTCAACATAAAATGGTATTAATATATAAATTGTACTTTATTCACTCAACTATATGCTCATCATTTTTTATATCTCAATTATTTGTAAAGTAACTTTTTTTTTGTCCCTAAAATTTTTAGAGAGCAGCTAATTAACCCAGTTTTAATTAAATTCTGGAATTAAAAAAATGGCTTCGCAAACAATTGATGAGGAACAAAAAGTACGTGATAAAATGATTAATTGAGGGACAAAAATGCTATTTTTCAATAATTTGAAGATAAAAATTGCAAGTTGCCTTATAATCTCATTTATTAGGGAATTAAATACAATGTATTACACATAATTTGGGTGAGAAATATTTATTGCAACACTTCTGAACGTGTGTGCTATAACTACAAGAAATTAGGGCATTTCAAGGTATACTACTCTTAACTGGTTGAAGAATAAAAACACGAGAAGAATGATGAAGGAAAGAGATTAGAAACATTTGATTGAAAAAATGTTGTAGCTCATGATATAAGAAGTATCATAAAAGCTCATTAAACAATGACACATCCAACTTAGGGTCTTCATTAGATTTATAAAAAATAAGCCCTCATTTACCTATTTGCCAAAACTGAGAATGACTCTTTAAGCTCATCGGCAAATTCAAAGACAACCAACTCTATTGGACATAGGAAATTAACTCCAAATGTATTATTGCAAATGAGCAAGAAGAAGAGGTAGCTTTTACTTCTTCCATCCAGTTACAATTTAGCATATGCTTCTTATAGAAATTATCACGATACATTATATTCTTAGCAATGTTGAGCAAATTAGATTAAGGAATAAAGTTGAAATTGGCCACTGAACGTAACTTAAAAGTGCAATTAGGCCACTGAATGAAAACAAAGTGCAATTAATCCATTGAACACTTCAAATATATGCAATTTCACCTGATAGCAGGTTACCATCAATTTTAATCGGTTGCGCTTACGTGGAAGGTGAGTTGACATTTTAAATAATTTTTAATAATAAAATTAAAATTAAAATTAAAATTAAAAAATATAAGCAAGCAACTTGTTGGAATTGTTGGTAACCTGCTATCAGGTAAAATTGTATATATTTGGAGTGTTCAATAGCTTAATTGCACATTCTTCTTCTTTTTTTTTTTTTTTTTTTCGTTCAGTGACCTAATTGCACTTTCACGTTACGTTCAATGGTCAATTTGGACCTTATTCCTTATATTAATAATTCAAAGGAGCACAAATCTCTCAAAGCCAGGAATTACCAACTTCTCTCATATAACTAAGGAACTTAAAAAGCTCAATACTCTTACTAGAAAATTGAACAATCTCAAGGCTTAAATAAGAGTGCACAATAAGAGAATGTATAACCTATTTGGTTCGTTGAAAAGAATTGATAAGGAATTGAATTTAAATTCTATGGAAAAGAAATTATTTGAAATATTGATTTCATTGTTTGGTTGTTGAGAAATAATTTATTGGGATTAATTGGTATAAAGATTCAAATGTCCTTACATAATAAAGTATGTGAGGTGATAATAAGCGATATAAGAATTCATGTTTAATTATCCCCCAAAAGGTGTGGAAAATAAAATGCCAAAGGGGAGCAAGCAATTCATTTTCCTCAAATTTGAAGAATTTATTTTTCATTACCAAATTTGATGATGTAAAATATTGTTATTGAAATATTTCCTTTACTTCTCAAAAAAAAAAAAAAAAAAAAACACTTTAGACTTTTCAATACTTGCCCACATTGATGGACAAACAATTATGTTTGTAAGAAGAGCATTGATCCTCAGAGGAGCTCAAGAGCTCCCCTTTCCAAACATTTTTAATGTGAGATAAAATGATCCCACATCATTTATAAAGGGAGTGACTCCCTTTTGTCTTCTTCTTCTTATTTTTTTTTTAAATTTTATTTTGTATATCGTTTTGTTTGGATTATTATTATTATTATTATTATTATTATTATTATTATTATTATTATTATTATTATTATTATTATTATTATTATTATTATTATTATTATCATTATTATTATTAACATTTTAACTTCAATCAAAACACCAAAAAAATTATATAATAACTCAGTAATTTGCTCCAAACTGCTAAAAACTAATACAATGCATACATTTTGGGTTAATCTTTCACAACTCCCACTAATAATAAATAAATATATAATAAATAAGAAATAAATAATAAATAAATAAAAACTAAAATAAGAAGACAAAGTTGACTTCTTAAATAAGAACCTTTGACTTCTCAATACTTGTCCACATTGATGAGCAAGCAATTATGTTTATAAAAGGATCATTGCTCCTCTTATATATAGGAGCTCTCTATTTTCAAACATTTTCAATGTGGGGATCAATATGATCCCACATCATTTACAAAG